GTCATTTGTCTGTAGGATTTCAAAGTTCTATGTCCTTATATTTTAATAGTTCTTGTGACTGTTTTAATTAGTGTCTGTGTGTGTGATAAGAGCTGGGTGTGACTGACACGTTTTGTTGTGATATTGTATAAATATAATTTGTTTCGCAAGTCTCATTTGTAAAAAGATGTTGATCTTAATGAGAAAAAAAATCCTGGTAGGTAACTCTAACGATGCCTGAAGGAGAAAGAAAACCCATTCAAACAGCAAATGTCATTTTTAAAAAAGCAGCTTGTGGTGGCATAATGTGGCGATGGCAGTATAGTGCTATTTTCTTCACGCAAGGTTGAAAACAAACAAAGGCGGCTGATGCATGTTTGCTGCATCACCGTCAGGAGGCAGTTCTTGTAGATTGGGTAGTCTTTTTCAAGTTTGTTTGCCCTATCGCTGTGAAAGGGTAATGTTGAGACCTCTCTAATCTACTTTTCCCTGCTACCCACTCATCAGTTGTAATTGTGCACCACAAGAGAACATTTACACTCTACTATTATTAGTATTGTAAGTGCAAACACAAGAAGACATCAAGGGGGCAAAGCTCCGCTAAGCCTAAATGGCAACAGTCTCATTTTAAAAGGAAATGCACTTGGAGAACCGGTTTGCCCTTAAACCACTCGTCATACTTGATACCAGTGTATATGATAACATACTGAAATAAGAGGTATCAGCTTTACATCAACCTTTTGTCCCACTCCTCAAACCCCAACATTATAATTCACATCCAGTCCTGCTATTCATTGTTGTTAGGGCCTATTTGAGACACAACCAGAGAGACACCAGAGAGCAGTCTCTCACCAGGGGATGGGGCAGACTCTGACAGAGAAGTACACATTCTGGAGAGTCATTCAACATGGAGTGTTTAGACAGCTGACTGGCACAGCTCTCATTCACAGCAGTCAAGTTACCAGGAACAAGACAGGCTGTCGGAAGCAAAGGGTTAGGCAAAAATAAAAAAAATAATAAAAACAAAAACCTTTGCCTAAGATTACCCCTCCACCCCTATAGCCCACCCCAAACAAAACCCCAAACTGTGCCCTATAGACTACAATAACAGAATCATAAATCACTGCCATACGAATACAAATATATTTACTGTGTACTACTAGAACAGGTTTTGAATTTTCAGAATGACTCAATGCCTGAAGCCACGTACATTCTAAACACCCACGCTGGGCAGCATCAAGAGGAGCAGCCATCTATAACCACAGGGAGAAATTATACAAGACATCAAAGAGGCTCATACGTTTAAAAAAAAAGAAAAGATAGAAAGCTGTATTAAAACATTTCATGTTAAGACAAGAAACAGCACAAAGAGCCAACACACGGTAAAGTACATGAGTAAAGCTTGTAATGTTTTTGATACAGATAAACTCCTACACTTGAAGAACGAGTTTCATGCACCCTGGGATTAATATACTCAAGTATTACATTATATGTTAGATACAATCAGCTTCAAGCATCTTTAAGTGACAAAATCCTTTACTGCAAGCTTGTAAGTGTGCATGTGAGTATACTGCTTTGATCTCGGTCACAAAAAAGTATACTGCTTTGATCTCGGTCACAAAAAAGAAAGAAAACAGCCCAGCCTTGTGCACAAAGAATGCAACTTTTCAGCAAAGAATGAGAGCTATGTGTGTCAGTGGCATTGATATAAACTAATGCTGCCCAGAGTTTATTGTATAAATCAATACTCTAGCATTCACTACGAGGCCAAAAAGGGATTGCGTGCCCCCTTTTTACCCCCAGAACATGAACACTTGACACATTTTGTAGTCCGAACTGAAATTAACCTTCAAATAAATAAACAAGCTTGCTATTTCCAATACTACGTTGCGCAGTGCACTGCAGCCTAATAGAAGAGGAGCAAACAGTCAAAACTTAAACAAATGGGGAGAACTACTTTGACATCACGCAGGCAGCATGTGGGAAAGAGGTGCTGCAAATAAGCAAAACACAAACAAATTATTCTCCAGTCCGCCAACCCTGGACAAATATGTCGAGCACTAATCGATGGTGTCGGAAAAATTAGCATCAACATTTTCATCTCGTCACGTTGATTCAGCTTCGACTGGCAAAAAATTATTTATTTTAGTTTGGAGATAGTGTCTATAAGTATAATTGTGGCTGTTTTTATTTATTTATATATATGGCCCTTTACTAATTGCTAGGTTATGATATCCTAAGGGAGCTTCTATTGTGTTTGTTAGTTAGTTGTTGTTGTATGATTTGCAGCCTCGCTGTATTTGTGCCGTGATTATGCTGTGCACGTGTGGTCAAAAACATGTTGTTGAAGTAACAACACATAGGCAGCCTGCAAGAGAATAAAGGTTTTATTCTTAGGGATGTCCCACTCAAGTATTTTTTGGTCCTGATTCCAATCAGAGTCCTTTAATATTGTTCAATCTGATACTTATATATATATATATATATATATATATATATATATATATATATATATATATATATATATATATATATATAAAGCCGAATGCTGGAACTTTAGAGTCCGGCTGCCATTAAGAAGAGGACGGGGATGCCGCACTAGCAGGTTGAGCACAGTAAAAAAAAGGATCTGATTTTGGTGCATGCTTGTTGTAAGTGTTGTATATTTGACCACATGCCCATGTCATCAACGGTGTAGGTGAGGTACAGATAAAGGGGCACTTGTTTCCAACGTACATACACTACAAGCCAATGTATCATGATTGTATCTTGTTAAAATGATGTGAAATCAAACAGAAGGTGTGTGCTCTCAATATCCCCGTTTTGGACTGTATCAACAGGTGCAGCAGACAGGACAGAGGTCACTGTCACTTGACCTTTGCTTATCACACACTCTTTCATCAAGCTGGGGGCCAGTCTCTGCCTGCTCTAATAGTGGCACTCACTGGACTCCATTTAAAGGAAAATATTTCAGCAAGCTGATAAGCTCCACTGTAATTGCCAAACATGAACCCTTGGCTTGGAATTTATCTAAAGGCTGCAATTATTTACACTCTGCTGATAATAAGTCACCACAGCCAATAAGCGCCCGAGACGAGCAATGAGCTGTGAGGGGGAGATAAGGACTGACTCCAGATCTGCCATGCTGTCAAACTGTAAATAAAAGGCATAAGAATAGAAAGAAAATAGATACACAGGAGCTTTAAAAAAAGGCCAGTTGTTACAACACAATGGGTATCCCTGGTGTAAAGCACGTAGCACCAGGACAACGTTTGTAATGGCACGCTGCCTGTTGTACCGGACAGAAACGGGATGGATCCGAAGTGAACGGCAACACCTGCTGTCCTACGACATGCTGCTGGACCCACGTCCGCCAGCTCGTTATAACCAGGCCTTACAACTGTCGCCTCTTGCCTTCACACACACATATACATACATATACAGTACGTGTGTGTAATGACAGAAGTGTGGAGCCTACCTTTGCCATTCTGCCACGCTGTGTACCAGGACAGGCTGAGGAACGACGTGAAGAAAATAATCGCAGTGGCCACAGTTCCATTTCTGAGCCTCATCTCATTTCAGCGATGCCTCTCCTCGGCTGAGTGTCGGGGACCCCGGAGCTGCCGTTGCCTCCCTCCCTCCCTCTCTGGCTCTGCCTTCAGGGTGTTGAGGCGGCTGTAGGCGCAGGCATATGGAGGAGGGGGGGGTGTCAAACGGTACAAAAAAAAAAAAAAAACGCTCTAGTCAACCGGACTGTGAACACGGACTTCTTCTACGCGGGGAGGGAGGGAGGGGGGGAGTGCTCGGATGTACCCTCAGTCTTGGTGCGTCTTTTCCTTGTCGTTGTTCGGAGGGCTGTAACTAACTGACTCCTCCTGTACCGTCCAACGGCGATCAGTCACGAGTCAACGGTCTTCCGCGACAAGACGGTTTACATGGTCGGTTAAGACAGAACGAGCGAGCTGCCGATACAATCCATTGTAGACGTTAACGCCAACCGTTAGCTACAAGTTACAAGTAGAAGGCATTTCGAGTGTGTGACGGTTGGTCCTCTGGGATAGGCTGCTCGCGCTCTGACGGCGGCTCGGAGGCAACGCCTCAAATCACGTCGATTCCGCTTCAACTGGCAACAGATGAATTTAAAAAAATAAAAGCGGCGTGTTGCCAACTAACCAAGCGTCCTGTTACGGTTTGCCACTAAAAGCCTTTTTTTTCAATCATTTTTAACATTGCTAGGCTTCTTCTATCTATTAACGTGATGGCATCTTGTCATACATGGATAACTTTTACGTTCCTGTTCTGCCTGCGTGACTTTCACGTAAGAGAGAGAGGAGAGCACGGACTATTTTTTTGTTCGTCACTGAGCATAGTAGCACATTAAGGGTGTCCATGTTTGTAAACGAATGGCCACAAACTGATTTCCAACATACTTCAGCCGTTCGTCTTTTAGTAGCAGCGTCCCTCTTCCTTTTAATGTCACAGTGCGTACAGAGGCGTCTTCCGGTAACACATTTCAAAATAAAGCAAGGATACCTGTGGTGCAATACTTAGCTGGAGCTTTAGACTCAAGCTCAACTCGGAATGATGGCTATTTTCTTGAAGAAACATTTTATCCGATAAAATATGTACCGACCCAGTCTAGACTCGAATTACTACAGGTTAAAATACTCAAAATGTATACTGAAAACTGTAGAGGTGGCAGCAACATGTAATCGCCAGAAGCCTGGAGGGGGTAGACTGACCAACTTGTTTTCCACCACAAGCAGCAGTAGCGACTCTTCTTTCTACAAGTACAATATGCGCCTCCTAGTGGACATGAGCTCAACTGCATTCATGTAGATGTCAAGTGCCTGATCTGTCCAATCAAACGTTTTTAATTATACAGTCTGTGGTTAAAAGCAGTACCACTCCTTAATAGATAATAAGAGCATGGTCATACCATTTGATAAGCCCCACTGAACACAACAAATATAACATTTATATAATAATATATAACATATTCTTTCAAATATGCACAACAATTGTGTGCTAACATTCATTTATTTTTTCAAACAGCACAAATATTTTAATGCAAACCCTTAAAATGTCGAAATCAAAATGTTTATAAAGAATATACTAAATATCATAGAAATTTCTATGATAGCTGCAATGATTGTGACCATTAAATATAACTAGCTTATTGACTTTAAATACATTCACAAACCAAATGCAGGTACTGATTTTGTGTGGCAAGCCAAGTGGAGGAGCAAAAGAGGAAAAGTGAAGAATATTCACTTTCTAAAGTTAAAATAGCAACAATATTTGAAAAAGATTTTGAAAATATTCTTAGCACATTGCAGCTCTGGGAATTCTTGCTTCTCCTTATTAGAGTGACATCTGTGGTGTGAAGCTGAACTGATCTGTATATATATATATATATATATATATATATATATATATATATATATATATATATAACATGATGCAGAGGGAGGGATTTTCTCAGAAAGGCGTAGCTTTAAAGTAGTCCTCCAGAGGAATGAGTGACGTGCCTCCGATCCAGTCCTGCAGCCAGACCTGGATCAACTCCAGCTTCATGAAGAACCACTTGTGTCCCACTGGCCACTTTGCCATCACGGGATGTCTACAAAAACAAGAGCAACACATATATGCCAAATATTGTTCTTTTCTCTCATTTTCAGGAAGCAAACATGTATTCATTCACCACTTCATCTATCATTAGCTCTGTTACCTTGAGAACATTGCTTCCTTTGCAAATGCAAGCTCCTCTGGGGCCACCTCCACCATCTTGCCTGTTAGTGTGAGTCGAGCACATCTTGGATCCTCTGGATCATACATCATTTGCCTTCAAACAGAGGAGACCATGATACCATTGCGGCACACACACATAGGTGTTCTAGCTTTTCTGAGCCTCTCAGTAACTTGCAGTCATTTAATTCTGTCAAGGTTGTATCACCAACCGGGCAAAGCTTGCATCTGCCCCAGGGCCCAAAAAGCTCCAGGCTTGCTGTGCGTCAACTGTTTTGTACTAATTGCCATGTTGTTGAATGCAGCAAACCTTGGGGCAAGGTAATATTTTGGCAGAGAAAAACTGTACGTCTTGCCTACAGTGTAGGAAGAACTGGGGGTTAATGCAGTTATTTTTTTCCTTGGGGCATTTTAGCTAATTAACCTGGCCATGAGTTCAGGGGAGTGTATTAAAAGTTGGGGCTTACCTGCAGAACTCTCCCTCAGCCTCTGAGAATGTAAGAGAAGCATAGGGATTACTTTTCAGGTCTGATACGGTGTTGTCCATCGGAGTCACATAAAAATAGACCACTCCCGTGCTGTTGTCCAGCGGTCCATCGCTGACTGAGAAGATGTTCCCAAAGGGGAGACCTTTGATCTGTGCAAAAAGTAGATCATTAGCAAAGCCGTCTTGTCACAGAGAAAATTCAGTGATAAAATTGTAGCTTCATTAGAGTCTGAATTGGTGTAATTCTTTTCCAACTGTAATAACAAATTGGAAGATTCTGCATACGTGCAAATATCCCTAATTGCAAGACTGGAAAAGCTAAAAAATGAAAGCTGAGACCAGCCACAACAGAGATCATGAATATTTATGTTGTTTTTGTGGTTCGGTTTAATCAATATCTGTAATCACTGGCCATTCTCCCCCTCTGCCAGAGAGACTGAGAGAATGAAGACCTGCCTGTCAATATTCTGCCACAAATAATATATATATGTATAATAAAGTCCTGCATTCAAAATTCTACAACCAGCAAAGTGTTACCAGCAAAATGTACTTAACAAATCAAAAGTAATAGTACTCATTATGCAGAATGGTCCGCTTCAGAGTGTTAAATTATGGATTTTTTGTTACCTGCCATAAGTACATTATAATTCACAGTATAGCTTTACACAACTCCAACCAAATCAGCCACATATACAGATTACTGCCTTTGCTCTTTCTGTTACTGTCTTCTTGCTGCCATGTTAAGTGCCCTGGAATAACTTTTAAAGCACTATATAAAGTAATGTATTATTATTATTATTACTGGAATCACCTGGGTATGGGTGTGCAAGGGTTTGAATCAATAAGAATGCACCATATTTTAGAATTTGACCACAAGTTTTGTATGTAAAATCAAAGTAACTAGTTACTCTAGGCATAGACAAGGGTAGTAGAGTAAAAAAGTTGCACAAATAAAAATACTCAAAACAAACAAATACCTAAAAATAGTACTTAAGTACAGCACTTAAATGCGCTTACTGTCTTACCTATTCCAGAGTATTTCTAAAAGCTTTACTACAGCCATGACTCTACTAATGTCCTGTCAGTGTCAGTTCATTATTAGAAGATTGTTAAGCTTGTTGCTTGGCCAGTCCTGTTTTAAATACATGCAAAGTATTGACCCAGTAATTAGGAGGTCTCTACAGTGTGGGACCACTCCCACCCTGTGTGTGTTACCTTGTCTTGAGTTGAAATGGTGGCCAGATGTCCCCAGTCACTGTAATGCGCTATGTATCTGGCAGTCCTGGCGGTCTCCTGGTGAGGAGGAGGAGGAGGACTGCCGCTTCCGGACTTCTTCACCTTCTCCAACCGATATGAAAAGAGGCGAGAGGAAAGCTGCGCCACATCGTCGCTCTCTGGTTTGACTAACTCCCCGGGGCTCTCCACGCTGTCCCCGAGGACGTTGGAGGACGGGTAAGCCTGCTTCCACAGCCCCGCACTCTCCACCAGCAACGCCGGGGCGACCTCCTCGGACAGGTCCGCGTCCTCCACCACATCGTTGGAGGAGACGACCCAGGAGACCGAGCTCCTCAGGGTGTAGCTTTCACACAGGAACAGGACGCTGGCAAACACTGCCAGGGGAAAATAGCGGACCCTCATATCATTGAGCTCGGACAATGGCCGCCCCTCATCCACTCTCTTGTTTACAACCTCACGTGGATGTGTTTTTCGTAACACGAGGAGATTTTGTAATAGAGAGCAGGCTCACAGCGACCCCTACTGACAAAGCAGATAATATATATACTTAGAATGATAGAGCAAGTTAAACTACTTACATATACTGAATTATATGTCTTTTGTACATTTAGGTACAACGTTGAGGTACTGGTAAATATATTTAAGTATATACATATAATATACATATTTTATACTTCTACCAACTAGATTTTAGAGCGAAATGTTCCTCTTGTTTTTTTTTTAACTTCACTAGCATTTATTTCCCATCTATGTTTATTATATTCTGCAGATTAAGTTTTAACATACAAAACCTATGATGGTTAAACACTTTGCAAGTTTAACCAGTGGTTCTTAACCCGAGGCTCAGGACACTCCAAGGGGTCCAAAGATTAATCTAAGGCGTTACATTGAGATCATTAAAATGAACAGTGAAAGACATTACATTACATCATTTGCTCTGACTCACTTCTTTAGACATCTGAACAAATTAATAAAACCTGTTCACAGCTTACACCCACATTATGATAACCTGAGACAAAGGATGCCAAGTAATGATATATTTTAGGGGGTCGCTTCCCAAAAAGGTTGTGAGCACTGGATTAAACTATCCAACAGTATAGAGTCATTCAATGATTTCCCACTTGAACAGCTAGAATATTAACATGCAGGGCTTCTACTTGTAATGGGGTATACTTATACCGCTTTTACTTCTGTGAGGGTCCTGAATACTTCCACCACTGGTGTTGAGGCAGAACTTTTGACTGAATTACAAAGATGTTTCTGTTATTTTGTCCACTTGAATTATATCAACAACAACAAAACTGCTTCCTCAAAATCTATCATAGGGCTGAAACGAAGCCCCTCTGCCACAGTGTTCAAATTCAGGGATTTGCAACGACAGTATTTACAGAACTGCTTCCTATATTACTGAGTGTGTTTTGATGTATCCACAGTAATCTCAATGTAAAAGAAGCATTCAGAAAGGTTAATGCCTCTCATGTAGTTGCAACATTGGGCCAAGTGTGTGATTATGCACCCAAACCATTAGTTATTGGTAATGTTTTAAATACATGGTTTCAACCAAACTATATTCATGGTATGCAGTATAATCTACCATTTACTAGACAGGGTCCAGATCAGGGCCTGGAGGTGAACTGAATGTCCCACCGGTACATTACTGCTAAGTTTACCACACACACAATATCCCCCAACTTCAAAATCAGGGATTAAGGTGGAACAAAACATGTATATTGTGCCACACAGGTGTATCCAGATCAGACTTCTTCTGGGCCTTCGCTTCAGAACTGACAGACCTGTTAGCGTAGAGAGGTACGTGTCTGCGACTATAGACTCAGACATCATATTTTAATCCACACTCACTCTTTATTGCCTCGTCACAATTAGTTAAAAATGTGTTTTAGTAAAAACATTTGTATTCATTTACTGAGTTTTAACAGATAATTTCTGATGTTGAGGGAGTATAAAGTCAGTCACTGTATATTTAAATTTAGTCATTTAATATCTTCTCCTTAGACATCTTACATTAAGGCACTTCACAAATGACACAAAAAGTTAACATTACAAAGTTTATTGTTTAACATAAGCTATTAACAGCAGTGACATGCTGAATCACATAAAACATTTTTCAGAAATATCATTTATCTTGAAGTGCTTGTGGTGGAAAGGGATTATAATGAACTTTTCAATATATAAACTCTCTCTCTGTCGCTCAGTATAACATTCAAACTTTACAATTAAATAAAATTCAATAACACATCGTCTGCAGGGCCTTTGTATGGACTGTTTATGATGTGCCTTCAACAATATGTCTGTCTGTCTGTATTCCCACTCAGTCCATGGACTTATCACTCCAGGCCATCGACTTTCTTTTTGCCAGTTCCATCCATGATGGCTGGGCGTTGTCCGACATGGACTGCAAGGCTGATGGCATTGTGGGTGACGATGACGGCGGCACATTTTTCCACAGCCATTTGTCCTCACGAGGCCTCTCTGGAACTCTGGTGGGACTTGACTCTGAAAGAAGATGTTATGTCATGGTGCTGCTCATTGAGATAATGATAAACAACTTAGTATTTGTACAGTAACTGTAATTAATGTGTGCCAACACACCTGCAGGTTTTACTATTTGTCTTCCCTCTGGTTTTGTGTCTTTGATTAGAGACGTGGTTTTGGCTGAGGCCGGGAATTCACCTGATGTCTGCACCTCTGTTTGAGCTTTCCTCATTTCCACCTGAAGAAAACTGTGAGTTAGATCATCTGCTCAGGATAAGCAGACACTCTAAAGAAAATAGTGGTTAAAGAATAAATTAAATTAATTGTCAAAAAATTCCATGAAAAGACCCAAACCAAAAGAGTTCATCCTGCTAACAAGAATTGTAGCTTAGTCCTCTGCACCATAAACCTCCATTGTTGTCCAAAAACTTTTAAAAAGATATCAATGAGCCACCCAATTGCACTCGCTGACCTACTTCATTAGGATGAACTTTGACTCTGTGGTTTATTTTGAGTCATTGTAAATATTCACTAGTATGCAGAAGTGGCTAAAATAGCCTCCACAAATGCACTATTTACTTTGGTTTGAGTAATGTGTGCTAAAAACTACAGTTCCCAGTTGTTTTAGGCAATTATTGATTATTATTGCAATGATCTATGAAAAGATATCAGTGACCTTGACTTTTAAGATTTATGTCCCCACAAGGAACAAACAGACTTGAGACTGAGTGCCTTAGACAGGGTGTGGAAGTCAGGAAGAACTGAGAGACTGACTATCACTCTTAGTTTTAGACTTTTCATGGGATTTGTCGACAGCCTTATCCTTTAATTTATTCACAGTCAAACACGGTATGAAAGACAGTTACAAAGAAGTACCACAAACCCCCTTGGCTCCAGGTGGAGTGGTCCACTCTGCCCGTTTCTCCAAAAAAGCTGCCTTCTCACTTACTGATCCAGCCCAAACTGCCCGTCTGCCTGATAGTGCTGCACCCTCCTTTTCCTGCACCGGGGCTTCTCTTTCCCCTCTTCCCAAGGCAGAAACAGGAGGAGGAGCCGTCGCTGATGAGATGGTAGAAACTGAAGTTAGAGCTGAAGTTGTGGATTTGAGCTGGCTGGCAGGGGGAGGACCTCGATTGCTCCAGAGGGGTTGCTGCTGACCCGAGGAAAGGTAAGATTGTGCAAGAGACTGTGTGACACTCCCTTGTCCAAACTGAGATGAGGTCTCTGTTTGTACAGAAGAGTGCAGGGGAGACTGGGTTGTCCGTGTGTTGGTCTGTACAAACGCAGACTGTGAGGCAGACTGAGTTGTGCCTGTGTGTGGCTGGGGTTCATTGCATTGTTTTGATGTTTGTGGTTCTCGAGAGGTGTTTGACTGAACAGGAGATGCCGCTGAAGTCTTCTGCTGCACTGCCACTAGTGATGGTTTGACAGCCTGTGCTTGACATCTGCTCTTCACTGTTTCTGCTTTGACTACATCAGTTGATGTTTGGTTTGCAACCTCTACTGGTGATGCACTTTGTTGTATTTTTACAGTTTGTGTCTGTATTTGTGCCCCAGTCACCGTCTCTGTCGGATTCATTGTCTGCACCTGTGCTTGTGGCCGGGCCGCTGCCTGCATGCCTGTAAAATCTCTGGGAAATCTACTAGTAAAAAGCTGTTGGAGGTTTCTGGTCTTTTCCATTGCCAAGCTCATCCAGGACACCTCAGATGAGGCAGTTTGCGGGGCTGGCTGGGGCTCATGAGGCGCTGAGAGAACAACTTCAGCTTCTTTGGTGTTTGAAGAGGTTGTTTGGACTTCAGTTGGGATGATGGGAGGATCGACAGTAGATGGCGGGTTATGTTTGAGTGGAAGGGAGAAGCCAGATGGGGCTGGATCTAAGGAGACACAGTTAAGTTAGACACACTTGGCAGCTCTGTTAAAGTTAGTCTGTTAAAGTACAAAGGTCCCCTGAGAAAATCTTATCACGCCGGAACAATGTAATTATTTACTGTGGAATTTACAGCGTGCATCTGTTCAATGTTTAACCCTATAGGCGACTGAGAAAAGATAGTGGCACAGTATGGCGTAAGAAAAGATATTGTTCTTTCTTCTTTTTAAATATTTTGTATATGGTGAAATCAATAAGATTTCTCAGAGACTCACCTGTCAGTTGGAGGTCTCCAGCTGTGGATGGTGTACAAGAGATGTTTGTTGTCACTTTTTTACTCGGGTAGCTGGAATTATCGCTTATTTCCTTTTTTTTTTGTTTGTCACTTTGCTCCTCGCACACTGGCGGCTTTGAGTTTGGGTTAGAAGAGGCATCAGACCGAAATCTCATCGACAGAGATGTGGAGCGCAGTTTAACACCAAACGCCGTCTTTCCTTCTCCCTCCTCGGCCTCCTGTGCTTCCTCCGCCTCTTCCACCACCTCCTGGCTGCCCTCCATCTCCGCCCCCTCGACAGTGCCTGTGTCTGCGGATGCATTTTTAGATGGTGTCACTGATTCCACCTCTTTAAGGTTGTCCCTCCTTTCCCATGGTAGAACTGAGCTTTTGTGTGGAGCTCCGTCTTGTCTAAGTCTTCCCACAGCGAAGGGCCCCCCTCTTGGCTGTACGTCTCTAAGTTCTGCCTTTTCCCTCATGCTTGAAAAGGGTTTCTCCTCTGTTCTGTGCCTGGCTTCATTCTGTTCCAGGACTCCCACAAAACTGCCTGATCTGGGTCTTCCTCCATCTGGGTTTTTGGCATTGTTGATGGAGAAATGGAAGGATCCAGATCCTGGGGCAGGTCTCTTTAGTCCTCTTGTGATTTCTGTCTCACCATGAACCGTGGAGGAAGACCTGAGAGCCATCACTGAGCTGAAGGGAGCGGAGAGCTGGTTGGAGGAGCCTTCAGTCATTCCAGCCTTGTTTAGAGTATTTCTCTTGTCATGGGATATTACTGGTATCTCAAAACCCAAGTCTCCTTTGTCCTTCAGTTCTGACGGTATAAAGGATGAGTGCGGCCGTTCACTGGACATTACATCGGCCGGTCTGTGAGGTTTAACTCTAAGTACATGGGAGGCTATAGAGGGCCCCCTTCCAGGGAGAGCTTGGTCCTGTTGGGAGGAAGTTAGGCTGGACGATTTGGATGCTGCCTCTGGTGTGATTAGTGCCACCTCTGGCGATTTTGAGGGAAGACGCTGAGATGTAATGGGGATGACGGCGCCTCCTGTCTCTGTTTCCACCACCTCTTGAATACTGAGCTCTTCTTCTCTCACAGACTCAGGGTGGTCGATGTTGTTTTGGGTGTTTAAGTGAGACCTAGAGTCAGTCTGAGAAAAACATAGAAAGATGGTGAGGGAAGTGCATGATAATATACAAAGGTGAAATAAAATGAGTATGTTCACTCACTGTAGTAAGTCTCTTCTTGGTGCTGGCCCTCTGGTTTCTGGGCTTGACAGACATCCGGTGGCGGGCAGCAGAGGTATCCAGGCAAGGGGTGAACTGGGCTGGAGAGCCGAAGTCCAATGGAGGCTCCACAACGGAAGAATTGGAGGGGACAGAAAGAGGCAGAGGATGGGATGGAGTTTGGGGGACAGGTTTGGTGATGGGCGAGAGTGGACGTGGGAATGCCTGAGATATAGTATGAAAAGAAAGAAATACAATAATATATCACTGCAGAGACAGGGTGGTCATGAAGACACATAAAAAGACAATCACATTTTAAACAATGTTGTATTATTAGGACTTTTATTGATTGTGTTTATTCCCTATTAGAATACCCTGACCATCTCCAACTTCTCTAACTTTAAGGGATATAGCTTTTTCTTATAGTAAACAAATCCTCTGAAAATATAAAAACAACAATAAATCAGCCCTGCAGGATCTGATCCCAATAATTAACATAAATTCAACAAAGGCATGATCTTGCATTTTTCTGCAAATTTGAAAAAATAATTTTAGTTTTATTTAGGTTTCACCAATCATAGCAAACCATATGCAAACTACTAGCAATTTATTCTCACTGTTGCTTAATCTCTAACTTTCACACTCTCACAATTCCATTTTTAAAAAGTACAACATGCATTACAATTTTTTAGAAAAAGCTGCCTTGAAATCAAGCATTTTAGGCCACAACAATCCCCTAAAAAGCCTATGAAATCCTGGAGCGACTGATAAATTGATCCTACTAACAAGTATTTTCTGTGTAGCCAAAGCTTGATATTGTTAATTCCTGTGTGCCATACACCTCCGACTATTAAAAACACATCAGTGAGGCACACTGTTGCACTGAGTGATGAGTTCCTTCATTTCCATGAACCTGGGTAATTTATTTTGAGTCAATCCCACATACACCCTCCTGCTTTTGTAAATACTCACTAGTGTCAGGAAATAGTCCCCAACAAATGCACTATTTACTATTTAGCCACGTTTTCTGAAAACTGCAGCACCCAGCTGTTTAGGGATTACTGTGCCTTCTTGAAAAAATATAAAATATATATTGTGACCCATTTGTTTTAAATTCACGCCTGAAGTAGGAATAAATGAGGAACAAGACAGGCTGTCGGAAGCAAAGGGTTAGGCAAAAATAAAGTCAGAAAATATTAAGAGACTCACTAATGCATTGTAAGTTTTGGTCTTTTCATGGGATTTGTTGACAAAAATAAAATATTGAACACTACCAGCTTTATCATTTATCCATTACTGTAAACTAAACCACAATTTAGAGGAATTCAAACTACAGACACTTAAAACACACATGGACATATTCGCACAAGTACTGGACTGCATTGCTAAGCAGGCACAGGCAAGATGTTAGCATGAATGTTGCTGCACACTGAGAGGATGCTACTTGTTCCTTCTCTTCACTGCTTGGAAGCACAGAGAGGGACAGAGAGAGACTGAACAAACTGGTCAGGAGGGCTAGTTCTGTCTTGAACTGCCCTCTAGACTCCATAGAAGAGGTGGGTGAATTTGTGGGGTCCCTGAGCAGCTCCTTCAGCAACAGACTGCTGCACACACAGTGGACGAGGTGCAATTATTTACTTTCACAACATGCTACTACCTCCTTCTGTAACCTGTACAATATTCTATTTTAACTTAAATCACATCTGTATAAAAATACTGTATATTGTGTACATACAACCATTTTCTTGATATCTATATGTCTATTTCTTTTTTCCCTCTTGATGATATATCTGGAGCTGCTGTAACAAGTGAATTTCCCCAGTGTGGGATCAATAAAGTCTATCTTATCTTATCTTATCTTTCACTTCCTTTCGCTGCCAACCTGAAAGGGGTCTGGCTCCTGGTGACAGTGTAATGTTTGGATGGAGTTGAGCCAAAATGGTTGGTGAAAGCTAGTTTATTGAGGCTATGTATCTACCCTTAAATACTCCTGAACTGAACTTCAGCTGAGCAAATAAGCAGATACCTGACAACACATCACTGAGGAGGGTTAATAAATCACCTTGCTGAGGGCTCCCTGGGTTGTGACGTCACCCCCTGAGATCTCAGCTGGGCTATGGGGAAGACCGTCGTCCTCTGAGCGGCTGTCCAGATCCTCTGGTTTTCTGATAGGGAGAACCAATGGTGGTGGCCCCAAATGCATCTTCTGCTGCTGAAGCTTTATCTATAATAGCAGAGCACACATGTTTTTAAAAGAACTACATTTGTAAAAGCTCAGATACAAACAAAATGTCTAGAATAAAAGTATATACCTGCAGAGCTTTGATCTTGCTGTGAACATTCTCCTGAGATAAGACCCTGGCTGGTTCAGCGTCTGTCAGAACCTGATCATCCAGAAAGATGCTTTCATGGGACAAGGCCCGTGATCCCATCATCCCCTGGGAGCATCTGTGGTAGCAGGAGGGGGTCAAAAGAAAAGAGTTGAAGGCATAGACTAGAAATCAATATGGAGCTGTAAATCAAACATTTACTATCACATAGACACTCACGCCAAATCTTCCTCTGATCCGAGTCCCTTTCCCGCCGTAATATCACTGGCTGACTGGCTGAGTTTGGCATCTCTCTTACTCCTCCCGAAGAGACGGGTTTTCAAAGACTTGAGCTTGGACTTTTTACGTCCTAACAGAAATTGAGATGGAGACGGATCCAGGTCACAGCAGCTCACACACAGATACACATGCACAGAACTCAGTCTCCTCTCTACACCCTGGATTTCCTCTGATCTTTGCTAATTGTTACATCAGACATATGTCAACTCGTATTGTAGATCATGATCTATCATTGACAATAAATGGTCCTTGGTGTGCGTTGGTCACGTTTTTCAATGTTATGCTGGAAACATCCTTGATTGTGATAGCTCATTTTTGTCAGACTTGCTTTCTCTTCACCGTAATACTTAGATAGTCTCACCTGGAATGTCCTCAGTGCTTTCTTCTGTATCTCCATGGAAAGACTCCATCGGTCCAATCCCTGAATGAACTGCAGAACAGACGGGAATGAGAAGCAACTGTGAAAGGCATACACTTCAGCTGGTGTCACATGCAGGAGGGCATCTAACCAGGTGTAATCACGCCAGTGGATTGTTCTCTGTTCTCTGCGCTCATTTGATAGTCTAAAGATGTAACACTGGACTTGAGGTTCAAAGGTTTATTGGCATTATCAGGAATGGTGCAAACTTTTAGTGAAGCTAGGCAGGGCATGTTGAGAAAGCTTTGGCACTATGATCAACAAAATATAATCAAAGAAGATTTTACAAAAGGACTATAGTAGAAACACATTAATGCAGTGTCATCAAGACAAAATATAGCATGTAGGTTGCAGAGGTGGTATTAGGATTTCTAATATTACATTGCACTGGTAGGAGTAGCCATAAATATCACACTCATAAAGCAGTGCAGCCTGCATAACGTATCATATTTTGTGAACAAAGCAAAAGCTAAAATCTTGCTCTCAGGCAGCTTTACTTATGCAACACTTGACTGTCAAACATCCAGATTGGGTTGATGCGTTACTGGATGTAAGACTCAGTGCACAGGGCTTGTTTTACAGACTTTATTTTGTACCCTGCCCTGCAGCTAGTGTTCTGTTTGGGATATGCATACACCATTTCCTGTGAATCATACAGCTTTCCCTGTGTAGCCAAGGAACAACAGAGCATGATTCGGTACATAATGGGTGCCTGATAAGACAAGATGTGTCGGGTTATGGATAAACATGCAAAGTCCACACTGCACCCCTCATATCACCAAGCCTGCTCTCGGAACACAAGCACACCCTATTGAAAATTATATAAGCTTATGAATAACCTGGGACCAAACAAAGGCGCCTTATTTGATTTGCACAACATTTGAACCTCTTACCCTACAAATACATTTCAACTTGTGTGTGACTTTACTACAGCAGCCCTGAATGAAACTGAAGTGCTCATAAATCAGGCCGTACCTCAGAGTTTTGTCATCTAGTGAGCCAAGCTATAGCCGCAACAGAAACAGAGGATAATCCTTTGGATTATTGACATTGTGCAGAGATCCTTGTAAGATTTCACAACACCATAATCCACAACAACGGCTTAATCACAAACTTCCCCTGGCACTGCAGCACAAAATTCACCTGACAGAGAAAGTACTTGTCCTTATTAATGTGAAAACCTGTTAAAACACACACACACTCACACACACACACACCCCATTTAGTGCAAAAAAGAGTGAACTTACCGAACGTCTAACAGCAGCACCTCTGCTTCTCTTCCTCCTTTTTGTCCTCTCTGCGCCGAGTTGTCTTGTCTCGGCTGTGCCACTGTCCTAATGTCTAAACCTCAGGCTTGCGTCGTCCACATCTGCAGACGGAGGGGATGCAGAGGGAAGGGAGTGAGGGAAGTGGAAGGAGAGAGAGAAAAAAACAGGCAGGGAGAAAGAGAGAGAGAGAGAGAGAGAGAGAGAGAGAGAGAGAGAGAGAGAGAGAGAGAGAGAGGGAGAAGGACACTTCATGACAGGGTAAGCAAATGCACAAAGAGAAAAGAGGACAGAGGAGAATGAGAGAGAGAGAGAGAGAGAGAGAGAGAGAGAGAGAGAGAGAGAGAGAGAGATATACTCTATTACATTAGTGGCACACTGTGGCCCTCTGCGCTAAGCTCCTTATAAAACGCTAACCTGATTTTAGGCCCAGAAATGAGAGTAGAGGGAAAAAAATAAAGCTCCAGTTGGAAGGAGGACAGGCATACAGGAATTACGGCTCATAGAACTGTTTACACATTACACCGGGTTGCTTGTACCCGGATGATCACAGAGGGAAGTCTATGTATGTGTGCATGTGTTAGAAAGTTAAAAATTAAAGAAAAACACCAACCAGGATCCAGAGTTCAAATCTAAATGTACCAGACACTGGAGCTAAAATAATCTTTATAGCATTATACAAACAGTTATACAGAGATGTGTGATTTTATAAATACATACATTTTTGCATTTGCGTATCCACACATCACTAGTCAAGCACTTTTGCATGCATAAAATGGGCACGATTGTTTTTTCCTCCTTAAAAAGACTCAGTAATGCATCCTGCTGGCCCAGTGGTTTATATATACACACATATACCTGCAACATCCCTGGATTAATTCCAGCCAGATACCTTTGTTGCACATTTCCTCTATATCTCCACTTTAAAAGACCAAAACAGACACTTAGAACAGTAAAAATTGACTCAGTAACACAGGCAAAAGACACACATGTATCTCCCTAACACGTTTTACATGAATCCAACTTTCTGCACATTCACACAGGATGGTGTTCAGAGATGGGAGCACTATCTAGGCCACTGGGCTACAATCAGCAAGAGGGAGGGCAGCAGTAAGTGGAGAGCAAACCTTTGCATCCACATTTTTTCGTGTCTGGGTGTGTGGCTGAACAGCTTCTCTTATGAGGCTCCTCATCACACAAATCCTTATCTCTTCCATCAGAATATAAACCCAGCCGGTGACATCTGGATAACATGCAACCAAACACATGTCGCACATTAACAACAGACCACAGTGACATAAGAGTCTGGGATGTGGGTTTTGTTTAATTAACCCCATTCATGGTTTTACTGTCTGTTATCTACACATAAGGGACAATATGTATGCAACTTTGTCTTATCTAATACTGTAATGACGTTGACCTGTTTGTCTTACATGAAAGCCGTTTGTACATATTGTAATATATATGCATGTTTACAGCTCAAACTGCTTCCTGCAATTGCAGCCTTCGTCCTCTCTGCTCGAGGAAGACAAACGTTTGTTACAGTGACGGTCATCTCTGGTTCATGTGGTTTTCTGATGGATTATAATTTCTTCCTCTCAGAGCCCAGATGAGGACTGTGCATATCGAGATTAAGGCCGATAGATAATCCGATCACAGCGCTGTTTGAACTCATGCGGGTTACCATTCATTCAAACAGTTTCCCATGAAAATTGAATGAGGGGGGTATTTTCCCCATGATTGTTTTTTTTATGGGGGAACTTATTTATCATTCATACCTTGAACAAGTAGCGTATACCAAATCACTGCTGTCACTCCCTTAATCATTTAGATCCAACTATCCTGAGGCAGTTTTAACCCTTTACAAACAGTGTGCCTATAGAGCAAGCAGCAGCAGACTGTTGTGTAAAAGAGAGACTGAACAAATGTATGTTTTTATCTTTGTTCTACCTCATAAAGCTGCTGCTGCATTAAGGGTTCGTTGAGTTGGAGTAAAAATCAGTGAAAGACAGAGGAATAAACTAATCAATAGTTAAGCTTTTAAGCCAACAAAGAAGTCCAATAATGCTCAGAATAATGCATAAATATCTACCGTTCCATAACAACTGAGCCTACTCGGTCTGCTGATGAAGACCATGTGATATGGTTAAAAGCTCTAGTGCAGGCAATTAAATGGGCAATGAGTTGAGAAGTTTTTGTGGTAGACTTTACTGAGTAAAACATTTAAATATGGCTCACAGTTTTTATTGTTATATTTTTACATGTCAGAAAATGTATTTTGAATTCTAGATTTTAAATGTGAGAGTGAACATAAGGCAACAGGCTGGAAACATGGTTAGTAGGAGTACATTTATTTTTTATATCATAAAAGCACTTTTAATATAATTTTAAAAAGTTTTCATTTATTTTTCCACCAGATGGTGGCATGCACGATAAAAAGCATTTTCCATGTAGACAATCATAAACCACTTATTTATACAAGTAAAAAAAGATCATAAAAAGGAACCCCTAAAAGAAAACAAAGGCTGAAAAAATACTTTCAAATAAGACTGAAGAAATATAAAACTGACCATCCAGTACATAATCATTCTTGCTGAAATTAAAAAGTGTAAGAGTTATTGTAAAACCTCTGACAGAAAATGCTCAGTTAAACATAAGGCCAATCACATGCACCTGTCTGTTAATGCAAATGCAACAACACAGAAAATGTGTATGTGGGTTTTAAAGGCAGGTAAGTAAATTAAGTCAACTGAGATTGAAACTTTCGAAGGCTTTTGAATTTCATAGTGTTTTTGTGTGTTTGGTGTGAAAAATGTCTACGGACGTCTCCTGGCACTGCCTGAGGTCATAGTCACAATATCCAATAGAGAATCGTCCCTGGAAGATAAAACGAACACTTCTTACAACCAACATGTTGACCCGCAAACATTCAGCACCATAATCCTGACAACGGCAGCAAAAAAGGATGAATATTAATTAGTATAAAGTCTCACTTTAGGTCTCTTGAAGTAATCCAGCCCTCTTCCTATTTTGATGATCCAACCGTTGTCAAACCTAAAAATAAAAAATGTAATTCAATTTGGAAAACTCTATGCCACAGTCACAGAGTGGAGAGCTAATGTAAAAGTAAATACTAAACACTGCAGCAAGAATTTCTGCTGAGAAGAAGCCAACATCTGGAATCTATTTTATATTGTTCATATGTGAGTCGCAGCTTTACCTGATCTCCCTGTCATGTATGGTGGACGAGTACTGCAGATCCAGACTCACTCCCTGAGCACCGAGACTCTCTTTCAGCTCTGCCAGAGCGCTGCTCTGCTGTCCGCTGTCCGCCTGCAGGACAGGACAAATGGCAGTGAAATGACAGCACAGACTGAGCTGAAGAGGCCGATAAGGCTGCCATGCATTCGCTACATAGCGTGACCTCATTATTTAAATAACCTACTTCGTCCTGTGTAGTGAGGAGATGGATCTTTTTCACCTTGCAGGACGCTTTTAGCAGCATCTCACAGAACCGCAGGAAGTTGTACAACTGTAACAAAGAGAAGGGGATGGGGGGGGGGTTGGGTTGTTTGACATGACAGTTCTATGTTGAGAAATATTTTGAAAAAACATACGCAGCAAAGGGCCACAGGTCGGTGTCAAACCCTTGGCTGCTGCAGCAAGGACTCAGCCTTGGTACATGAGGCGCCAGCTCTACCAGGTGAGCCAACAGGGTGCCAGCACTTTTGCTGATAATCAGTCAGTCACTGGTTCCAGCTTTAAAATATGAGGCTGCATTTCTGTTATATATGATTTTAAATGTGATAGTTTTGGCAGACAAAGTTGACAATTTGAAGACATCACTTTTCTAACCTGATTAAACTAATCCAAGAATATTTAAGCCTTATACCAGCTCAAACAATGACCGTCTTTAAAGTTTACTTTGACACAGCAACGTTATTAAGAGCTCAAGATACGTTAATAAAGCACGACCCACCTTAAGACCCATGTCATATTGTCATATTATGTGTCAGTAGAGCATATTCCCATTCATCCAAACAAAGTTACAATGATTCATATAACCACAGTGAGACTGGGACTACTGGGCTACCAGTACAGATGCCTGCTTTGCCCGGCTGTTAATCAAGTAACTAAAAAGATATCTGATCAGACTGATTGATAATAAAAAACAGTAGCTGACGTCCTTCAACAAAGCCAAACAAAATGAGCCAAATCCAGACAATAAAACATTGCTGAAAACAAAGATCTTACTTGGTGTATGTGCCGTATGTATGGGTCTTCTACCCAGACCTCCGTCAGTAAACTGCTGATGTATGGCTTGAACAGAGCCTCGTAGCTGTAACCAGTCGCATCCTCTGCTATTCTAATCTGCTCGTGGTATTTCCCATCTGACAGGAGAGGGAACACAGAAAGAGACGAGAAATAGACGTTAGTGGTGACACACTTGCAACAATAACACTGTGTATTTAGCCCCTCACCACAAACACACACACACACACACACACACACACACACAAACACACACCTTCCCTCAACACATTTTACCCCAAAATAAATCTGATTATCTACCCTGGAATACTACGCTGCCTCAGGTTTTCAGTATGTCTTTGTTCTCATTTGATTAAACACAAATGTGTTTCACAGTATGCTCTCTATAACTTACATTATATCAACTGAAATAGTTACATTAATACTATAGTCTAACTAGATTTTGCCCCAGGGGCCTGATGACTTGGTAAAGACGCAGAATCAACCTTAGGAACATTTATAGTTTTTAATGCTGTATGACTCAACTGCTTTGTGGGAAAAAAGATTAATTGAATTTTGTTTTTAGAAATAAACACAAGTACATAATCAGTTGCTTTGTTAAGGCCCTTGGGGCAGATCCTACATGATTACCTGCTTTGATAATGTGTTTGTGGACACAGGGGCCCTGTACACGGTTCAAATATTCCTAAATAGATGTTATAATAGATATAACCTATAAATCTCATATAAAAGTAAATCTTTTAAGCCAAATTACAACAAACAAGGGAGTTCCCAGTGGGGCCCCACAGCAGGTTAATCCAGCTGTCTCGCTTTGTAATTCAGCCTCCAGGTTGTGTCCATTACCTTCTTTCATCTGGTTCACATGAGCTTTGATTTGCTCTGCTCTGTCCATGTAGCCCTTTATCTTGTCCCTGTAGTGTCCTCTCTTTGACTCATCTTTCACTGCTGTTGGCAGGACAAAGGACACAAGAATTAACAATGGTTCATGTCTTCATCAAGCTGCCTCTGCTGTGTGTATGTCTGGAAGAGGAGGGAGACCTTTCAGCACGTCCATAAGCAGCTGGATGCCCTCCTGGTAGCAGACGAGAGACTCCTGGAAGCGGCCGCTCTGGTCCAGCTCCACTGCCCGCTTCAGGACGGAGACTGCGGACGTCTCCATCCCTGACACATGGTTTTGTGTCATTGTTCTGTCTATCCTTCGTCTTGTCGGAGCTTCTAGAAAAGCAGAAGGCAATTCATGTTTGTCTACCGCCAAGAAAGTCAATCAAAGAAGTGACACTATCTTTCACAACTGGGATAGCTACGCGAGTGCGCCACAAAAATAACTCCCGGAGAAACGTAATGCTTAATGGTCCACGGTGCTAAGGTGTGTAGTTTAAACACAAAAAATAGAGATAATGTATCTATATTATAATTATATATTTTTACATTTTAATATTGTCTTTGAAAGTTAAAAACTAACTCTAGGAACCTCGTTGAAGGGATATTTGTCACATCGGCGCACTTTAGATGTGACTCCTTGACGCTTCCGGTGGAGACTTCCATGGAGGGCTCTGACGACACCAGCGTCACCATCCATTTATCTGTTGTTCCTCAGCTCCTGGGTTAATGTTTGTTGTTTGTGGGTTAATTAGGTGAATGCGAATACAGTTACTTGTGTTTGTTTGTTTGTTTTTATAACGGTTGGTTCCGTTTGACTCACGCGCTCGTCCTGTAACCTTGGCGTGCACGAGTGTGTGTGTACGTGAGGAGGAGTCGGTGAGGAGGAGTCGGTGAGGAGCAACATACCGGGATATAAAACATGTCGGTCATCTGTCGCGGGTTGAACTCTTCATCAGTGAAGGTAAGAACATCAGTTTCACCCTCTGAGTGTAAAAATACTTCAACAACAACAACAACAACAACAACAACAACAACTTTATCTGTCAGTGACCGTAATGTGGAGGCAGCTTGTGTTTTAATATGATCATCTACTGCCTCTGTTATTATTGCAACCTAGTAAACAGCATAGCTTTGTGTGTACCGGGTGATATCACATTTGTTTTTAATACATTTTCCAACGCTAAAGACTCAAACATCTGCTACACTGGAAGTTAAAACCCAATCTGAATGGCACAATCATTTATCAGTGATCAATTGTGCCGTTCATTGTCATTAAATGACAAAAACATGACTGGATAATGTGGATTAATCCTCTCTCTAACATATAATTGTAATGTATTACAGATAAACTGCTGGGAAAATAGTTTTTTTTTAAACCAGCTAATTGTACCTGACAAATTAAAGCTCATTGGCTCCTAACAGTGCCCACAATGGTGGAATAAACCCAGAGATATTAAAGTGATAAACATTATGTCATAATCTGATTTTTTTGCCCCTAACCACTGTATCTGTCTCCTCTGTTAGAAAACAGATCCTTTAGCCTTTTAGTCAATGCTTCTGTTTACTGCCACGCTCTGCTTTTAACCTCATGTCATCGTCCCTGTGTATGTTCACAGATCCTGACAGAAGCCACACTTTTGCCACCTTGCCCGTGGTTTATGTCTGCACGCAGCAAATTCAGCAAAGCAAGAGTCCCGAAAGAGGTAAGAATCAGGGCAAAAGCCTCAGGTTCACTGTAAGTCGGTTCGTTGCACATCATTTGATAAACTGCAAACTAGTTGCCCTGTCTTGTAGAGAGTCCCTGTGTCAACATCTAGCTTTAAGATTTGATTTTAAACCGTGGTAATTTTAGTTTATATTGTGCTCACATGGTTCATATTGGTAAGTTAGGTATGGTAATATTTGATGCTCCTTTGTTCTGCACTTCTGAAGGATTTAAGCATCACTTCAGCTCATTTGCGCTGTTGTCAGTATTCAAAGACTCCGTGTTTTTCTTCACAGCTTTTTGTCGAGCGATCAAAAGAACACGAGAGATATGGGGGAGATCCAGACCAGCCTCATAAACTGCATATAGTGACACGAGTCAAAAGTGTGATGCGAAGACCGTACTGGGAGAAAGAGATGGTGAAACACCTCGGGCTTGAAAAGGTAATGCTTTTGTTCTGCTTTAGAATTCATCCTTTTATTCCTGCTTCCTAACATTCAGTAGAACTTGTGTAACGCTCGCAGTCTTGGATCTTTTTGCACTGACTCTGTTCTCTTTGTATTTAGGGTCACACACCTGTAATACACAAAAATACACCTGCGGTCAATAACCAACTGAAATTTGTGAAGCACCTTGTAAGGTAAGATGAATGTACACAATGTAACATATGTGTTCTCAAGCTTCTGTAAATAATTAAAGCATGTAACAAAAGCAGATTGATGACTTGAGTTATACAAAGTGATTTCAGTACATCTCTGCTCATTAAAGGGACATTTAAAGAGACTGTTTGCATGATTTCCTGCCCTTTCCTTCACTCAGGATCCAGCCGCTGAAGACTCCCTATGGACTTCCTGCTGAAGAGGACATGGCGGACTCCTACATTAACAGCAAGGGAGAGTTGATTGTTCGCCGCCTCCTCCAACCTGTGGACCCCAAGGCTATCGACTCTTAGTTCCACTTTCAATCGTATTAATTGATAGTCCCAGTGTTTATAAATATTATGGAAGATCCTTAGTGTCTGTGTTAGTTATCCAGGCACGTTGGTTTATTTTTTTCTGCCCATCAATAAACGCCACCAACTTATCAGTCACGCATGCAGCTGTTACAATTGACAAATTGTAATCTGTTTTCCATGATAAACAGGTGATGGTTCTGTTTATTAAACATGGCTTATGATAACATAAAATAAACATTTTGAAATTAGTAAAATGTTCACTTTTTGTAGACCTCTTTTCAGTCAGACTATCAATGACAATTGTTAGACCTTTTTTTCAGAAGCCAGTTTAAAGGACACACACACACACACACACACACACACACAGAGGTGTTAACAATTAGACATAATTCCATACTACATACTGATGTACATAATTCATATATGAATTGAATTGATGTTTTCACAGCTGCCATTTTGACATTAAATAGTAGGCCACACGGCTGTAAGCAATGATAGTAATCAAGGCTCCATTCCAGTTAGTGTAGTAGAGCCTTTCCAGTGAGCAAACATGCACAATAGCAGCACCCTGACTCTTAGTGGACTCTAAATCCACTTGCCCATTAGAGGGTCGTTTTCAGCTGACATTAGGACAGGAGGTGGGGTACACCCTGGACTGGTTGCCAGTCAGTCACAGGGCTGACAGATACGTACAATCACTCACATTTACACCCACAGGGAATTTAGAGTTGTCAGTTACTTACACATCTTTGGACAGTGGGAGCCTACCAATGGGGGTACAGGGAGAACATGCAAACTCCACACAGAAAGGCCCCAGAACATTCTTGCTGTGTGGCTGGCCCAATGCATGCTGTAAGTAAATAAAGTTGTATACTAACTGGAAATGATGCAATGTGTGCACAGAGCAATCAATCAAGATATCTAACTGCGACTGACACTGCCGATGAAACTGCAGAGACAACCAAACGTGTTTCTGTAGTTGTTTCACCACCATCCACAAAACAATTGAATTGTATCTAGCTGTAAGAAGCTCACATTGCTGCATTGTAGGAGAACAGCGCGTTTCAACTCGACACTTAAAAGTCAGTTTTATAGTCTAGTTTGGATTTGGGAGTTTGACCATACAGGCTGTCTATGAGTGACACCTATTATTCTTACTGGTAGAGTTTGGTGACCTCACATAACTCCCAGCCAACTTTAATCTGAGCAGAGCAGGGCCTTTAATATTGTCACTTACATCAATTATGCAATTTGGATTTCTCTTTAGTCTTACATAGCTTTTCAAAGTGTATATGATGCAAGCCTGCAAGTGTTTTCCAGGGGAGAAGGCTTGTAACATTGCATTATGGGAACTGTACGTTCCAGTGTTTGGTTTTCTTACTAGTGATTAAAACTCTCACAGGAACCCTAACTTTATAGAGTAGCTATACAAAAATCCCAGGAACACACATTTTTAAATTCTTTTTATACTTTTTATTAAGTCTGCATTAGTTAAGTCAAACTCTTACTACAAGGAAATGTCATGTAAAAATGTATTCTGATACTAAAAGATGATCTTGGCACTCATGCATCAGAGTTTTTCTAACATCGGACGAACAAGGTGAAGAGGAAATGCATGAAATAAACAAGAGCTACCTAAATGAGAGGGTTTAGAGAAAAACTCACAAACACAATAACGCTACGAGCCAGTTGATACATTACTGGTGCAATGGCTCATCTGTACGGTATGTTTCTTTGTTTTTGGATTAATTATTGAAATATAAAATATAGCAGGCAGTTTATTAAATAAGGCTGCAACACAAATTCTCACAGCTTTTAGGAAATAATTTGATTTGAGATATGGTACAATAAAATATGAGAAACTGATAATGAATGGGTAAGTCACTTAGAGAAAAAGAGAAAAATTAAAGCGGGCTGCATGACATTTTTTTTTTTTAAATGAGGTAGCCCTTAAAGAGAAAACCAGACTGTCAGCACTTTTCAGTCATCTCCAGAATCAGAATCTGAGTCGTAACCTCGCCCTCTGATGGTTTTCTTCTCCACCTTTGTGAACTTTGTGCCTGACCTCTGCGTCGTTGTAGGAGGCTCCATCGGGTTGCCACTACAACAGGGGACAAACAAAGTGATAAATTAAACGATTGTGTTGTTAAAATGAGGCCGACATAACTAATGTTTTTATCAGCACATTACTGAGAGTCTGTAGCTACGCATGTCTCACCTGTAGTTAATAACATCTGCACAGCCGAGTCTCCACTCAAGCATCTCTGTGGGAAAGTCATCTGTGTTTCCCAGGTCAGTGAATCCAACCACATAGTCCTTTGTTTTTCCGTCTAATAGCAGAGCCAACGTAGGAATAACCTTGATCCTCAGCCTCTCTGTCAGAAATGGAGCCTTTTCCACATTCAGTTTGATGAACTTGGTCTCAACATGTTTCTTTGCCAGGATGGCCAAGTGTTTGTCGACGATCTTACATCTGTACGTAGGGGATGGAGGACAAAACGAGAAGTTCAGCAGCCTGATGAGAAAGTACTCTACCAACTAAAATGAAAAAACAAACAAAACTTCTATCCAACATAAACTAAAAGCTGTGCTTTTAAGGTATTGCCCTGAGTCCTGGAAATAACATGGTTATTGGTTCTGAAACATTAGCGCTGCAACTACAGATTATTACCATTACTGATTGCTTTTTAGATTTATAATTTTACATCGAACATTTTAGAAAAGAGTGAAAAACATCCCAGAGCCCAAACTGATTACTTGTCTTGTCTGACACAGTTAAACAACCAGTAGAAATAAAAACACACATTTGAGAAGCTTAATGATCAATACTGTTAAGGTTCTTTCTGTCTGACTTATCAAGTCGTCTTTTTCATCCTAGGTTAAATTGTTTTAATCGTAAACCTCTTGCTCCGTCACTTAGGGTCTTTATAAATTCAAACAAACAATAGCATGGACTTACCTGAAGGTTGAATTTTTGTAGAAGTGGCAGACAACATTCTTGCTCTCCTTGACCTCGCCGAAAAAGTCTTTCTCACTTGAGACTTCTCTGTACTCTCCATGGCCTTTAGACAACCACTCCTTAAAAAAAGAGAGAACTCAGTTGAGTAGATGAACAATGAAAGAAAAAAGTAGTAGAACTGGCTTTTACATTCAATCACAATGAGAACATGCAGCGTCTTTTGTTGGCTGATTTCGAACAGTAGCAACCCATTTTCCCGATGAAAAATCTACTTGGATTCCTGATGTACAAAATAAAATATAAAATTCAATTACTTTTCTTGTCCGGTATTCTTACACCAACTGTAAAAGGATACAGTCTGTATTTCAGAAGGGCCCTGTGACTAAAGCAGCTGAAAAAAACCATCTAATTATATTGCTATATGAATATATTTTGTTAAAACAAACAAAACAGACATTGATCTGACTAAGATTGTCCAACAATCTCAGCCTGATTTTGAATTCTGTCGACTTATTGTGGACCTCTGAGGAAGTCTCATAACAAAACACCTCTAAGAAATGTTCTATTTTATGATCACTTCCCATAGCAGGCTTGGCGATACATACCGGTTAAAGCAGTGGCATGGATACATAAGTTAAATATATTTTGGCAGTAAATAAAAGTAACTGGAATTTACTTATGCAGTAAAACAGTACAATTACAACAATCCACTTCATCAGACAATGAGTATAAAACAGTTCAAAGAAAACATCCCACATACTTGCTTCTGTTTCTGGGCTTTTTTAAGAGCCTCTAATCGCCGCTCCTTCAGTCTTTCCAAGTCATCTTCATCCATTTCATTCAGTTTGCTCAACTGTGCATCCACCTTCTCCTCCACCAGCTTGGCTGACTGCTCCAAAACCTTTGCTAGGATATCCAATGATTGGTTGGCCATGGTTGCCTGAACTGTGTGACACTCTCTCTGAATCTGAGAACGTAAGAAAACAGATAATGTAAGCCGAGCAATGACACCACACACAAGTTAATAAATACACCAGCTGAAATATTTCCTCTCTATAAATGCTAGAATGATAACAGTGGCATAAGGGAAAAAACTAAGTATTTTTTACTATGAAAATGCACATTAATGCAATGTAAACTGTACTCTCAGTTCATTAGATGCTCCTGGCTGAAACTACTGCAGTCTGCAGTCCAGCATCACCCATAAAGGTTATAATGTTCAGCCTTTGTTTACATTTTTAGGGAGTTGTTGACCGATTATGGTCATTTTGGAGGCTGCAGTTTCTGATGATATTAAATTGTATTGTGTTACACGTGCCTCTAAGTCTAACCTCATTGATCACAAATGAAGAGGACAAAATATTAGACACTTTCCTCAAAGCCAGCTTCAACCAAAGCTGAACCATCACGAAGGTAAGAGTTGATGCAGCGTTGACACATTAGACTGCATTGGATTTAGCAATGTGCCAATGCATGGTTGCCCTAACATGAGCAACGCAGCAACTTACTGTCATTGAGAGGAAACATGACACAGAAAGCTTTGAGACTGAGCAGCTTTGTTAAACTCGAGACAAAGCCATGCTAACCACTGGGCACACCTTGTTTTCGCCGGTTGTTAGCTAACGTTAGTTTAGCTGTGTACGTACTTTGTTATTATGGTTGTCTATTTCTTCGACATTTCCCCTAAACATGTACATTATTAGACGGCAATGGATCCAGAAATATAGCTAACGTTAGGTAACTAACTTTAACTGTTTCCAGAAATCAAGGAGAACTCTAGACAACACGAGCGCTAACGTTAGCATGCTAAGCTAGCTAGCATTAGCGCTGCTATGGTAACAGTCGCACCAACATAAATAAATATTCATTATCGATGTTGATGTGTGGCGTTCAAGTTAAAACAGCCTCATTCACAACCACACTGCGGTCCAACGCCAGGGTTACCTGATGCAGGTGCTCACCGATACCTCAGCTCGTGCGCGAAACGCAAAAAACGCTTGGCAGCGGATGTGACGTCACAGCAGGCTGAGCTCGCGATATCAAAATATTATGAATAATATATAAATATATAAATATATATAATGAAAACAAAAACGTAATCATTATTATTGATACACATTTTTGTCTATTTCATTATAAAGATATTACAAAAATAACAACCATAAAAATATATTGTAAAATATTAACTTTTACATTATACATATGATTAAGACAATGACTAGTTTTGCTGCGATATATGAAATATGGAATATTTTAGTATGTTATGTATGTTAATGTGTTAGTGGATGTCATGCCTTCACACACAAAAAAAAAAAAAAAAAAAGTTAAGTATTAAATACTACTTTATCTGCTCCTCACTTTAAAATCAGGGACACAGTATAGATCAGACATCCTTCACCATTTCCAGCTTGTAATATACCAGATTATTTTCATAGCCAACATTAACTTGACTGTCACCCTTCAGCTAGTCAGGCTGTTAATTTAAAAAAAACCCACAAAGACAAGTAAGTTAATACAGAGTTTACAGTTTATTACCAAGATTTAGAAAACTTACAAACAAGTTCACAGCTTCAGGTCTTCAGGCACAAGCCAGTTTAGAGAAGTCAAGACTGGCCAATTATAACTTCTGGCAAGATATGACAGGTGAAGAGAAGCAAACATCTTGAAAGTGAGTGGAGACTTGCACATTCTGAATTACATTCATTTCAACAAGTTAAAAAAGGACAGATGGATTTGGTTTGCATATAGAGCGACTGTTTTAAACAAACTTTTTAAACCACACACATAACGTCTTGCATGATGAGATCACAAGCCAGCCAGCCAGCCGCATCTGCCGAGTACTTCTAATCGCCAACCATAAAAGTTAACTTCACAGAAATAAAATAATGTAGACACAAGCCATACAAAGGTCTCCAATGTACAGTATGTACACAAGTACATACAATGAGTTTCAGAGTTAATCCAGCATTATTTAAATATTCTGATTTGTGAAACTGGTAACTGGGCTGGAAACAAAGATTTACTCCAGATACAAAGGTTGTATGAAATGTTACATTATCTTGAAGGGACATCTCACTTTGTAGTGAAAGAAAAGATATGCATAGGCTACTTATTGATTGACATAACCCCCCTTCAGCATCCTCCTAAATCAGAGTGCTACTGAGAATCAACAGTTAACCTCATGTGAAGTGCTTTGGCCACCTTCTGATTTCCATGTTGGGACACTTACAAACAATTAAAGAGTGAAAAGATTTACAATTTAAAGACAGTTACTAAGAATTCACTACATGTAAACAATACAAGAGGTAAACCCTCCACGTACATATTTTCTTTTAAAACCTTTAACAAGTGTCTTTAAAAACATTATTTACACACTATAATAACAGGGTTTGGCACTTTTTTGCGAGAAACAAGAAAAAGATACAACTGTATGCAGCAAACTATGTTTTGCTTGCTTTTTTGTCAGGTCAGTAACAAGTGGCATGGAGCACCAAAGGAACACTGATGAAAAATAAGATATCTTATTCCTTCCATTTCTAGGATTATCTCAAGTCTGATGGCTGAGGAGTGCTACAACACTAACTGATTCTAAAATCAGTTTAAACATGATTGTGTTTACCACAGTCATTATTTTAAACCTAGACTGATTTAACTGCTTTAATGAATCAAAAATAAAACTCAAAATGTGCCTGTGTAACATTATTTAAACCTTAGCAACACATAAGGGAACTTATCAGCTGGAAAATGCTCACCAGGAGTTACATTTAAAATCTTTAAGGCCTGGCTTAGACTGCATGTATACAAAAGAGTTAAGCACTGCCTGCAAAAAATCTTCATATAAAAATCCACATACATTTGAAAACAAATATGAGTGTTATTTAAAAAAGAACTCCATATGAAAACGGATGAGTTCGCAAAATGCTGCTACGATTATCACTGTTCTGGGTTTTGGTGTGTAGATTCTAAGTACATTTCCTGCTTTTCAGTTAGTGTTGCTTGTCCTTTAAAATGGTCCAGTGTGTAGATTCAGTGGTATCTAAAAGGTTTATTGCAGATTTCAACCATCGAAATACCCCGGCAACCCAACCCCCGCCTTCCAAGTGTGTAGGAGAACTTATGGTGGTGGTGACTCTCATAAAAAACATAAAAGGCCCTGTGTGGAGCCAGTGTTTGTTTTGTCTGTTCTGGGCTACTGTAGAAACATGATGGTTCAACATGGCAGCCTCTGTGGAAGAGGACCTGCTCCCTCTATAGATAAAAACGGTAACAAAAGCACAACAATTCAAGTGATTATTCACAAATAAAATCATACCTATGAAAATGATATTCTTTTTCTGCCAATAGATGCTCCTAAATGTTACACACTGGACCTTAAAAGATCAAGTACTGCTATGAGGTGTGTGTATGAAGTCATTAATTTGTGTCTCACTCTCAGGAGGCCACTGAGAACATTCTGGTAGATGCTGCAGTGGAATCACATTTGGGAGGGAGGAAAATAATCCTTTACTCGTCACAATTAGTATTGCAGATGGCCTTGTGAAAGTAGCAGAACAAAAAGTGGTGGTGTAATGGTAACACACAGTGAAAACAGTCACCCCTCCTTCACGCTACCTTCAAGGTGCTACCATAAGCCTGCTGCACAACCACCTGCACGTTGTCTAGGATGAAGTCGAAAGCCATACTCCAAACAGACTCCACCGACTGCTGCATAAGCCTGCAGGGAAAGAATCAGGCAGCATAAGGAATTAATGACAACAACAAAAAAAGTGAGGGAGGAATGGAGGAGGTTGAATCATGCTGTTCTTACCTTTTCATATATTTTATAATTAAATCCAACTTCTCTAGATCTTTATCGTCAATCAGATCAGTGCAGTATTTAACCACTTGCAGGATGTCCTCCTCCATGGGTTCTAATAAAAAAAAAGTGATTAAAACAGCATTTTTGCAACCTCACAAACGATAACAGGTAACTGCATGACCTGGCACTATTGACAGAGCTGTTTCCTCCCTGTATACCTGTTATGGTGGTGACCCACTCCCGTAGGAGTGTTTTAATGTCCGTCAGGTCACAGGCTCCGGCCAACGCTGGAGCGGGGCGAGGAATGAATTTGGACACAGTCTCTGGGATTTCTGGTTTTGAGGTCGATGTGCAGGGACCGTTTTCCGTCTGTGACAGGCAAACAGGTGTGAGCAGGGAAGATTAGTACCAAACTGCCATGAATGTTCTACTTTCACATAACAACAGTTTTCTTACGTTTGAAACCGTTTATTGGCTTACCTTTATTATGTTCATTGGTTCCCGTGATTTTACAGTAGGTGGTAGGGTTTTGGCTGGGCTGTTTGTCGTGTGGCGCCTCTTGACAGGAGAAGGACCTTTTTTAACTGGGCTCACAGCATTTTTTCGCTTGTAGCGCCTCTTAACCCTACCAATGCCAATTCCTGACTGCTTTAACTGCAACAGTGGATTCTTCTGCTCCACTGCTGAGAGACCAAGAGGACATAAACAGAATATGCATGCTGATAATAGTAGAATAAAAAGCAAATTGCATTCCTTTGCAACTAATTCACCTGAGGACTTACACAGTTTTGCCTGGGGCTGGAGACTTGTAACGCGGTTGTAGGCAGACTTCAGTTCCTCCTGCAGCTCTTTGGGAAGGGCAGCAAATACATCTGGATCAACCTGCAGTCAGAAAGCCGAGAGGCTAAGTGAAGCTGAACGTCTAGTCACACACAATGAAATCAGTTTTGTATTATTAGGGACTTTATTAGGGACTAATCCAATAGTAAAATTACAGTATGGACAACAAGGATGACTAAATCATAGATAGATTGTAAACATGTACGAAACATATGGATCCAGGAGGATATGTAACTTCCAGGTGTCACCAAACAGATAAAACCTGAGCCAAAAAGCCTCTTCTCCACAATGGAGACCTGGAAAGAGGCTACTCTGCCTGGTCTGCTGCCACTGTGACCCAGGCCCACATAAGGGGATGGAAATAGTTACATAGATGGATGATCCAAAAGGCTATAAAGTACTCAAAAGAGCACAACATTGCTTTATCGCCTTAAAGTTTCTGTTGAACACTCTCCAGCCACTTTATAGAAGATAATACAATTAAATCTATAATAAAACATTTAATCATGACATTTCTTTTTCTTTGTGTTGTAAAATTAAATGACCAGTTTATCAAAATCTAAAATGGTTGCATCCCTACTTGTGAGAAGTTTGGTAGTTCCAGTACAATCCCCGGACTGTCTGGCTGATTTGGAATCTGCAGAACCAAGGTGCCAACAGGTGGAGTGTACAGTGCAGGAGCAGTGGTAGGAGGATGAGGAGGAGTGGTTGGACGAGACTTCAGAGGGGGAGGCTGCGGAAGAGGAGCGGAGGGCTGTGGAGTGGGTGACTGAGGGCGACTCGGTCTCCCATCCCGATTATTCCACGACTGCTCCACTTGTTCCCTCAGCTCTGCAGGCAAGGCCTCCAACACAGAACGATCCACCTTGGGTATCATAAAGAAGCACAAGTCGTTGAAAACATTTAATTGTTCAGCTCTTATTTAATCAATCATACACTTCCTTCAAGTCCTCACCTGTGAAGGGGAAGGGACCTCAATACTGAAGTTGAGACGTGCTCGAGAATGCTTAGGAGTTTGTCTGCTTGCCTGCTGGTCTCTGCTTGTCCCTGGGACTGGCTCGGGAGGGGACAGAGGATGTGGAGAGGAGCCAGATGATGGGGCTGTTGTTGAGGAAGTTTTTTCCTGATGTGTGTTGTTATCAGTGGCATCTGTAACATTGACATCGAACTCAAATTAATTTCACAGACGACAACAAAAGATATAGACTGAAACAAAAAATGTTACACAAACCTCTTTTGCTTGACCTCGCACCCAATTCCTGGTCCAGCAACATCTCTTTGATGGAGCGGGTCCGGGGGCCCGTAGAGTCCTTGTGGACAGAGTGATTTCCTTCAAGAAGCTGAACCTGGATGCCGACTCCTCTCAGGTCCTGAACCTGCAACCTCATGGCATGGAACAGCTTGATGACGGCAGCGGCAATTAGCTGACCACTGTCAGTGGATTGGGCGAGCATCACAGTCCTGACAGGAGACAGATAAAAATTTGTTTAGAGACGGCACGGATAAACAATGGAAAGAGGACACTATCAGTCACTCATAGCATACAGGGATGACAGGCTCTTTCTTACCTAGCTAGGTTATCACATATGCCATGACCACCGTATTTAGCTGGTTCCAGTGGTGCTCCAACCTTGCGAACCATGACCTTAAGGGTAACTCTGCGACCCCGCAGCCCTGCTTCTTGTAAACGTTTCTGCACCTCCATGGACAAGTTAGTCAGGAAACACTCTGCCTCATCAACCTGGTCACAGAAGTAGGGGGACAAGAGGGTTAGAGAGAGATAGGTGGGAAATGCAGGGAGGATGAGAAAGAACATATGGCACAGGAGAAAAGAAAGCAGGCCTAACCTGAGTGAAGCGAATGTTGTAGTTCATCTCGGCTGAGACAGACTTCCTTTCCTTCTCGTAGCGGACAGGCCGGTCATCTAGCCCCCTGCAGAATCGGAACAGGGTTTGTCCGGTCCGGGGTCCAAACTTCTTTTGCAGCTGAGAAAGCGACACCTGTTGGAGGTCCCCACATGACCTTACACCCATAGCAGCCAGCTTTCTGCCCATTACAGGCCCAACACCTAAAAGAAACAACAATTAATCAAACATTTACCACAAGAAAGTAGAGTGAAGACCATGACCAGAAGATGGCGCTGTATCTACCTGGTAGGCTGGTCACTGGCAGGTCCCTAATAAAATCATCCACTTCTTCCGGCTTTAAGAAGTGCTGCCCATCTGGCTTTGCCTTACGGGTCGCCAGCCGAGCCAAGAGGATGTTGGACCCTGAACAGATGAGCAGTTGGTCTGAGTTTGTAAAATAGGAATACTGTCTTGATCTATTATCCAGTAAGAGACTCACCCATGCCCACTGAAGCACAGCAGCTTGTTTTCTCCTTGATGTCTGCTCTGATCGCTTTGGCCAAATCTTCTGGGTTGATGCCCAACTCCGCTAGCAGGGCAGAAGCGTCTATCAGCACTTCGTCACAGCTCAGAGCCTCAATGTCATGGGTATAACTAAAGAGAACAATAGATGAGAGGGTGTGCTTTAGGTCATTTTGCATGTAAAGGACAAGGAAGTGAGTACAATAAAAAATTACCAGGGAGTTCTTCTTACCCTGCCAGAGTCTCATACATGGTGAGAGCCACCTCTTTATAGGCCTCAAAATCATATGGGACAGACTGCAGAGAGGGACACAGCTGTTTTGCTTTGCCAAAAAACATCCCATTCCTCACACCCGCCTGCCTGTGAGAGACAAACGATTTATTAACATAGCAGTTAGTGCAAAATACAGATGTTTGTGTTGTTTAATAAAAATGTAAAGCTGCCATAAGCGTGTGTTTATATCTTACCTAGCCTCATAACTGCAGGATGCAATCTCTGCCATTGAGAGAGCAGCAACATCTTGGTCCACTCCGTTAACATGGGAGTCAGGACTCTCTTGTGAAGGAGTTCTGTATAGATCCTCATCTGCCCTCTCTGAGAGGCAGGCCAAGGATACACTTAGTCAAGCATGTTACAGTACAGTAAGACATGTACAGAAAATATACTGAGCAAGGTCTGTGAAAATTGAGGTTGGTCATGACCGTCTCACCAGACTGAGGATGAGTTTGTTTCCTCTGGTAGTACTGCAGCTCCAGCTGAGGGTTGGCCCCAGCCCTCCGGGGCACTCTGCCCTCTCCACGGTTACTGGTCACAGCCACAGGCTTTCCTACAAGAAAACCCATTAACTCAACCAGGAGCACTGACTGGATTTATGCGAGTCTTTTCTATGAACATTACACTGACTGCACACAATTTAAACAGACAGAAGGAGCCTTACCTTTGAGCTCCGGCCGATGTCGGATCCCCACAGACACAAAGAAACAGTCCATGTCCACGTGAAAAATACAAGATTTAACACTTGCGGGGGCCGATGTACCTGACCACACAAATAAATACATACCAGATCATCAGACTAGCTTTCAAAATCACAATAGACATGAACATAACATCTAATGATGCCTCATGCATCCCCAGAAGTCCAGTTTAACTGACAGGAGCTACACACACATACAAGTATTGTCTCATAAATAAGCAGGGAAACAGATATTCTATCTTTTTTTAACTTGAACGTTCAGGCCTTATGAGCACTGGTTTGCTTATTACCGATGACACATCCTATATTCTAAACGTTCTAAATGTTTTTAGCATTTTGCCTTTATTGGCAGTTTACAGTAGAGAGCAACGGGACACAATGCAAGAATGAGAGATGTCTCTGTCTGAATTTCCACTGGAGAAGTTGGTAAAAATCCAAATACATCCTTCTTTAACAAAAAAAGATAGAAAGAACAAATGGCAGCCTGCATTTTACAGGGCAAAGCAACAAAGGAACCTTTCCTTTCCTACCTTGACTCTCTGCAGAGCGCTGGGCAATAGATTTCCTCAGTCTGTCTTTTCCAGAAAAGGAGGTGCCCCCCACTGCTCTTCTTTTACTGTGCAGTTCATTGACATACTCAGAAAAGCCAGTCCTCCAAGTGGAGATCTGGTGTAAACGTGAGTGAGAGTAGAACTCGGAGATCAAATCGCCTGTCTGTGCCAGCAGATGCACTGAAGACTTAGATGATGATGATGATGATGACTTTTCAGTGGGAGTTAGCGAGGCTGAGTCAGATGAAAAGGCATTGTGGTGACTTCCGTTCAGTCGAACTGGAGAATGTGAGAGAGAGCGAGATGCAGGTGAAAGAGGAGTCTTTTCAGGATTTGAATCAACTGGACAAGATGGCTGGAGCTGTTTTAGCAGTAGGTGGTTTTCGGTGGCTTTTATAGCCTCCTGGTAGGTTTGGGGTGGGGGTTTAGGTCTCTGCTCGTGTGCTTCCTGTGAGCTGGATTGCTCCAGAAAGACAGGAGACTGGTCTGATCGCTTTGGAGGACTGTGGGGAAACTCATATGGGTCATGTTTGGTCGGAAACTGCACTGGATGACTCTGAGGTTTATCCTCTGAACTCTTGACTCTGCATTCAGGCAGTTTCTTGTCAACAGAGGGTTTATCTGTAACAGGGGAGAGGTCCTCTGGCTTTAAGGCACCATTAACAAGGTGAGTGTGTCCATTGGTCAGGGGTGCTTCCTTCACCACCTGTGGGAGAGGATCTTCTTTGCCACACTCTTGCATTTCATTTATTTTTGAATGGCTCATCACATCCAATGAGGTCTGCAATAATCCGTTTCTGTGGGATAAAGATATATCTTATTTAATAAGAATTAATATAACAAGATGTTCCAATTGTGAGTGCACAAAAACGGTCTGATCTCTAATGTAAAATTCAAAAAGATACTCACATTTTTAATTCCACCTCCTTGCAGCCACTTCGGGCACTGTTGCAAGAAAAGTGGATCTGAGGTTGTGGTTGGCCAGTTCTCTGGTGCTGGAGATTGGGATGAGGTGTTTGAAGAGTAGACTGTGAGGGTTTGTGTGGGTGCTTTGTGGGGCTTGGGTTAGAGGTGTGTAAAGGACTTCTGTGCCTGGGATCTGTATTGATGTGACAGGATGCTAAGCGACTTGGTTGGGGGTTAATGAAACAAGCTGCAGATCCGTGCTGGGTGGACTGAGGTTGGATGTTGCCTTGGTGAAGTTGACTGTGGCTGGGGTGAGGGATGGAGTTATTCTGGCAGCTGGATGAAGACTGCTCATGGTTGAGGACAGAGTGCTGAAAGCTGCGCTGTGGCAGGTGAAGCTTTTGATGGACGCTCGGCTGCAGCAGCCCGTGGCTGGGTCCTGCGATCTCTGAGGTCTGACGCAGAGTCATGCCAGGGAAGAGTGGGCCTTTCTGTTTAGCATACAGCTGGTACTGTAGGTAAGGCAGGAGACGCCCAGCCTTGATACTGGTTTAGAAAAATGAAAAAGTTTTTTCAGCTCATATTGTGGGAAAATAGATTGAATAAACAATCCAACATGCTCAACTGAACACACCTGTCAGTGATCCACTCTGGCCTGATGACCTTTTCCCCTTTGAGCTCCTGAATTTTGGTGTTGGGTAAGTTATTGGCGATGATGTGGGTGGTCTTGGAGCGAGAGTAGTAGACGTGGAACTGGCCGCCATGCAGCATCATCAGTCTGCGTAGTTCATCTGCGCTTGGATCTGCTCACAAACAGGAGAATTATTGCAAACCAAAAAGACACAGACATTATGTCAGTTTGAGATGATTTATTTCATGAATTATTTTATTTATTATATATATATAGACGTAAGTACAACGTGGACTCCATTATGAAATAAGCAGTAGACCACCTGACAGTTGTGTGTCCTCTGTGGTAAAAGTGCATCAAGCAATCTACAAAAGTCCAACTTAAAGATCTGCACAAAACATCACACTGACTGAATTTTGAGGGGGAGAAGAGAGACAAACTAGTGATTATTGTTACCTGTGTATCCGTTGACATAGATGGATACTCCACTGAAAATGTTGGAGCAGGAACCTTCCTTCTGTTTTTCTCTGGGTGCATCGAGTTTAAACTGCTCGTCC